CGGGGCGGGAGCTCGGGGCCGTCGGAGGCCGGTCGCCTCCCCGCCGGCGTCGCCTGGGACCCTGCCCGCGGCCGCACCGGGAGCCCCAACAGCCCTGACGTTGCTCCTTTGCTAGTCAGCATTTTTCACACCGGAGAGGGATGAATTGCACCGCAAATTTGTTTCCAAGTTGAAAATCGTTGGGTCTTTCCACGTGAAAGGATATTAAAGAAGCAGTAAGTATAATCCCTTCAAAGGCTTCTATTATCTCACTCTCTTATGTAGGAGAGATTCCGGTTTCTTTGACAAAATACATCAGCATTATTTGAATCTAAATGGTTGGCATTAGAACTGGCCGCTGACAGGGCACACGCCCAGAAAGACCGCGCTGCCAGCTGGCCAGGCTTCGTTTGTAGGAGGCGTGAAAAGTTCCAGTTACGAGTGTCTGCGTCAGGAAGCAGGAGGCCTTTTCAACCATGGTACTTCTAAGGTAACTGTGGGCAGTGCCACCTGGAAAATAGGTGTGTTCAGCGTGCTGGGACCAAATGTGCAGTTGGCTGCAAGAGTAAGTTTGGAGCAGTCGGCTTACACAGTGTTAGCTTAGATATGCTTCAGAACATCGTAGATATATGCTTACAGTAATTTTAATTTTGTTTACTTGGCATTTTCAGATATCTGGGACATCAAGTGCAAAATGTTTGTAAATGATGCAGGTTATGGAGTCCATCTGTTTTTGTCCTTGACATGATAAACCTAAAGTCTAGTCCTTGGTAAAGCATGCTGTCTTAGTGGAAGGAAAAATAATTAAGGAAAGGAGAGGGAAAATTAAATTGAGAATTTTTTTCAAACAGTTTTTATTTGAAAATAGTTGATAGGCATTAAATGGAAGTTAAAATGTCAAATGTATGGAAATGTATGGGACACTGCTGTGTAAACAGTTTATAGTAGAACCTATTATCAAAGCTGGTAGTAAAGTAATGAAATACTTTGAGTTGGTGTTGACTGGGATTTATTGTCATTCACCCCTCACTCCCTCAGATCAATCTTCTGGTTTTCTATGTATATCTATATAATAGAACCCTAAATTATCATATGTAAAATGCTAAAAATGTATTCAGTGGATTATCATAGTTTGCTAGAACAAAGAGGATATTTGTATTGTCTTTGTCATCAGTGTACTGATAGGGAAGCAGGTAAAGACATCACAATTCACAATCTGGGTAAATTAGTTTTAGGTTGCCATAAATAAACAATGTAATAGGTGAGAATATTTCCCCCCCAAGTTTTATGAATGAGTATTTTTATATTGTCAGATTGAAAAATTTTAACTATGAATCATTTGAATATATAGTTACCTAAAGATATTTTTAAAATATGTTTTTTCATTGATTTCAGAGAAAGGAAGGGAGAAAGAGAGATAAAAACAATGAGAAACATCTGTTGGCTGCGGCTTTCATACCCCCTAATGGGGATAGAGCCCACAACCTGGGCATGTGCCCTGACCAGGAGTTGAACCAGTGACCTCCTGGTGCATGGGGTGATGCGCAACCAACTGAGCCACACCTGCTGGGCTAAAGATACTTTTTTCTCAAACTTTTAGAACCATATTGGGATTAAGATTAATATTTTTTTATTTTTTGGTTCTAGAATTTAATTTCAACACCAGATTTAAAACATAAATTTAACTTTGAAATAGGCAATAAAATCTTATGAATTAAAATCTATCTGTATTTGGACTGAAAAGTTTTTTTCTGTACCAAAATACGTAGTTGAATGATTGTTGGACCTTCATCAATCAGTAAAGTAGGAAAGAGTTTATTAGGATTGCCTTTATCCAGAAAATGACATGTAATAGGAATATAAAAGAATTCTGAACACAAAATTCAAATTATCATTCTCTCTCTTTTTTTTTCTTTTTTACAGAGAGGAAGGGAGAGGGAGAGAGAGATAGAAACGTCAATGATGAGAGTCATTGATCGGCTGCCTCCTGCACGTCCCCTAATGAGGATTGCTCTGACTGGGAATCGAACCCTGACCTCCTGGTTCATGGGTTGAGGCTCAACCACTGAGTCATGCTGGCCAGGCAATATTTAATTTCTAAAAATCTCCCTTTATACTGTGATGTCATTGCTGTTATTTTGTAAGTTCAACATAAGAATTTAATTACTTTGGTAAGAAAAGTAAAGAAAAATAGTTTATCGAAGGTTCTTAGTGTTTACTTGGTAAGTGCTCATTTTGTGAACAAATATTTTCCCCCGTTGAGTAGAGAGTGTGTAAAGATTTTCAACTTTAATCTTTTAATCCTGATTAAAAAAAATAAACATGATCTTCACTAAAACCAAATTCACTTGTGCCTTTTTCATCTTTGCATGAAAAGGAATCATATTTTTCTAAAGTGGGCTGTAGTTGTTTTGTACAATTTGTTTTGTACGATAGTTCAAGTGTTCCTTTATCTGAATGAAAAATATGTTGAATTTCATCAACATGACATTTAGTAATTTAAATTTAAAGTTAATGGCTTCAATTACGCTTGTGTTGTCTATTATGAAATGTATATGAATATTTTGAAAACATAGCTTAGAATTGGAAACAATAAAATTGTGAGTCAGCAAAGTGTAACCATCAACACAGTGACTGCTCTAATATGGAAAACAAGTGGGGAAGAATTAATTTTGCTGGGAGGGGTGGAAAAAAATTAATGTAATCAACATTATTAATTATGTTTTGGTTTCTACAGCAAGAAAAAATCCTCCTGGTTTTGAATTAAAATGGAAAAATATGAGAACCTAGGATTGGTTGGAGAAGGGAGCTATGGAATGGTGATGAAGTGCAGGAATAAAGATAGTGGAAGAATTGTAGCTATCAAGAAGTTCTTAGAAAGTGATGATGACAAAATGGTTAAAAAAATTGCTATGCGGGAAATCAAGTTACTAAAGGTGAGTAAATAAGTATGGTTTGTTTAAAAAATAAGTTGCTTTTTGATCAAGATTACATTTTGGGGGGGAAAATTACTGTTTTTATATTTGTTTTATTTATAACAGGGTTTAAAGTATAAATTTCTTCTTTTTGGCCATAAACAAAATGATTATATATGCATATTTATATATGTCATGAATGTAAACATAATTTTTAAAGTATTTTTGCTTCTGTCTATATCGATCTGCCTATCTGTCTACCTACCTAGCTAGCTAGAGTTAGCTAGCTATCATCTGTATTGGGGTTCCCAAAGACCACCTCAAGGTTCAGTGATTCACTAGGACTCACAGCACTCAGCAATAGTTGTACTCATGGCTGTGATTTATTATAGTGAAAGGATATAAAGCAAAATCAGCAAAGGGAAACCTGTTACAAGCTTCCAAGAATCCTAATCTAGTGGAGTCACATAGGACACACTTATTTCCTCCAGCAATGAGTTGTGATAACACATGTGAAATATTGATTACCGAGGAAATTGATTAGAGACTCAGTACACAGGGTTTTTATTAGTGGCTGGTCATGTAGGCACCTCTGCCTGGCTCTTACCAAAATTCCAGACTCCCAGAAGGAATTCAGGTATTCAGCAGTGAACCATTTTTATCAATCTGGATTTGAAGGGACTCGTCCTGAAATCCAAGTTCCCAGGTGCTGGCCAAGGGCTCACCTTGCAGGCAGACCTATCTAAAGATAGCAGGCTCAGGTCTGTTATGTTATCTCCCTCTTTAATCAGTCTCATGAGAAGTTTATCAATTTAATTATCTTTAGAAAGAGCCAGTGTTTAGCTTTGTTGATCTTCTCTATTATGTATTTCTCTTCTATTTCATTAATTTTTATTTTTTAGTATTTCATTCCTCCTTATTTTGGGTGAGTTTATTTTATAGTTTTTTTCTAAGCTGTTGACATAGATGTTTATTTCTTTCATTTCTAGCCTTTTCCCCCTCATTTATGCATATAAATTCCCTTCTCACAATAGTTTGATATGTATCATAGAAATTTTGATTAGCAGTTCAAAATATTATCTTATTTCCCTTAATTTCCAAATAAGCGGACATTTTCTTGATTTTCCTCTTTAATTATGACACAGTTGCCCTGTGTGATGTGAGTATATACTATGTAAGATTTTATTCTTTTGAGATTTCTTAATACATGCTTTTTGGTTTGGAATACAGTAAACAAACAAACAAAAATTCCTCATGAACTTGAAAAGTATTCCATTAAGTTAGCTTTGTTATTTGCATTGATTAAATCTTCTAAATTCTCACTAATTTTTTTTTTTTGTGTGCGTATGTGTTTGTTCTATCCAGTACTGAGAAGAAATATGTTAAAATCTTCCTCTATAATTATTGATTTTTCCTTTTTTCATTGTAATTCAGTTAAGGTTTAACTTTATAAACAGAAAGGCCATATTATTAGTATTTTATAGTTAGAATTATTATATCCTCATGCTGAATCAAATTTTTTATCATCTTGAAATAACTTTTTGTTATAGTAAAGTTTTTTCTTATGGTCTGTTTTGTCTGAAACTAATAAGGCTACACTAGTTTAATTTTGGTTAGTGTTTGCATAGTATACTTTTTTCCATCTTTTTACTTTCATTTTTTCTCAGTCCTTGTGTAAATGTGCCTCTTGTGAACATATAGTTACATTTTGCTTTTTGTCCTGTTTGACAATCTTTGCATTTTAACTGCAAGTTAGTCCATCTACATGTAGTATAGTTTCTGATATATTTGGGTCTAAATCTACTACCTTAATATATGCTATTTGGCTCACTGGTTCTGTATTCCTTTTTATTCTTTCTGTCTTTGGATTGATTACATTTATCATTCCTTTATTTTTCTCAAATAATTAGAAAATTAGATAGTTTCTCTCTTTTTGTGGTTACCCTCGACATTTGTTAAAGTCAAACAGTATCCAGCACTTTTATCCTTCTTGCAAACCTTGTGGTACTTATCTCTGGTTATTCCCTTTTATCTTTCACACTAACATTGCCATATATCAACCTTTTTATATATTTAAATACCACAAGACATCGTTATTTTTAAGTGTTCATTTAAGTTTATTTTTATCACTTTTCTTTGTTCTTTCTGCATCTAAGATTGTTTATCTGTGATCTCTTCCCTTCTTATTGTTTAGGATTTCCTTTTGTGAGGACCTACTGTAGATAAAACATTTCAATTTTAGTTTGCATGAAAATTTCTTTTATTTAGTTATTATCCTGTTTTTTAGGATAATTAGAATTTTAGGTTGGCAGTTATTTTCTTTCAACAAAATGAAAATAACATTGTTTTGTCCTCTGGCTTCCATTATGGCTCTTGAGAAGTCAGCTGTCAGTCCAATTGCTGTTCTTTTGTAAGTTTATTCTTTTATGTCTGGATTTTTTTTTCTGTCAACTTTTTATTGGCATATACATATAGAAAAGTGTACATATCATAAGAATATATCTCTATGGAATAAAAAAAAACCTGAACAACCCCATTTAGATGGTAGCCACCATCTAAATCAAGAAAGAGAACACTAAAATAACCCCAGAGCGCG